ACATCACTGTGGGGCCCACAACGTGCGTATTCATATGAAATGCATGAACATTGTTTACAGTTCAAAGACCTTCATGGGGTAATATTCTCATCTGCATCCACTAGGCTTTCCATGGTGATCCAGAATGACAATCACACATACTGCAGCAGCCAGTTCCAAGGTGAGATCATTGGTGGGTTTTATATCATTGGCGAGTTACCTGCTCGACACCCTCTGCTACAATTATTATTACTAGTCCTAGTGTAATCATTGTTATTATTATCATCATTACGATTATTATCATAAACACTACTATAAATAGTGTTCCTCTTAAAAGGAAGTTTTTCCTTGCCTCTGCTGCCTAGTGCTTGCTCATGGAGAGAAGTGTTGGGTTTCTGTAAATAATATCACAGCCCTAGACCTGCTCTTTAATGAAAAGCGCTATGAGATAACTGTTGTGATTTGGAGCTATATAAACAAAACTGAATTGATCAGAATTGAATTGTAGGTACACATTGGCTCAACGTACAGTACACTGTTTGTTCAAGTATTCTCTTGTGCTTCAATGGAGTCATACAGAATTGCCCATGTGAGAAAATCATCCATCTCTCCTGAGGGTTTTTTCTGCTTCTTGTTTACGTTTAGATGTCAGATAAAGACACACACACACACATATATATATATACACAATCAGCATCTCCACCCTCAGGACCCTTTAGAGAAAAGGAGTACATGTCAATATTTCCAGGAATTTCCTTTGAAATGTTTGATTGTTCAAGTAAAGCGTGTAAAATCGATGGCTGATGATTTGTGTCATTTTACGTATTAGCTGTATAGGGCCTTAGGGTGCAAACATTAAAATGCAAACATTACATGTCCTCTGCCATACCATGCTGTATAATTACTGCATGCTCTATGCCAAATGAACACAGTTGTTGTTTTAATGATGTGGCTGAAGCAATAAAAGCGAAAGTGTCTTCTTTAATACTCTTCAGACAACATGGCAGCCATTGGGAAGTGTATTTTACGTGTTTTGTCTATGTAAATGTGCTGATGTTAAAAGAAAATTTTGAGAAAGTGATTTTAAATCAGGACCAAAGTCAAAATTTCACTCAAAAATTGCATCAAACAATGTTTCACTTCAAAACAAAAACATGTTGCGTTGTTGTTGTACAATATTTAGCAATGACACTGACAATAATTAATATTCATGAGACTGCAACTTTGCAGCCCCGCAGGATGGTTAAATTAATTATGCTAACAGGGTCATTTAACTGCTTTATTCAAAGCAAGCAATTCTCGTGCAATAAATGACACAATAATTACGCACACAATCTAACAAGATGACAGTGACAAGTGGAGGAGTGACACACTCATCACCATAAAGTACAAAGAACACATTTACACACATGCACACACACGCACACAACACAACAAACAAAAAAAACTGAAGTAAAATCCACACAGACAAGATGAAAGAATAACAAAAAAAAACAGTTTTACATCCGCTACAGCTTTTCTCTGTATGAGTAGTAAATATGATTTATTACCACATGTTATTATTTAGCGTCATCTTCATCTTCTCTGTCAGTGCACACACACAGAGGGGTAATAGAAATGCCAGCAAGGTGGCTGATTTACTTAGTAAAATTTTCCTATCAAGGCTTCAAGGCATGATTGGAGTCTGTAAGAGTAACGAGAAACCATGCATTATGTAGGCGACTCTGACACGACCTTGAGACTTCTCAGCACAGACCATATATTACCATCAGAGTGACCTTCCCGTCCCGAAGATACATCTGATGTGTTTAAGGCTGTTTTACAATGCATTAGGAGGGCTTTACATGTGCTGAGCTCACTTTATTTGCTCATACATTTCACAGGAAGAGTTTAGTGTCAGGCTGATGGGGACCATTCACAGTGACTGAGTCACTTGTCGAGACAAATGAGCCCCTGGAAACAGACTGAGGCGGTGGATAATAAGCATTTCAAAGCAAATTCCCACTTTTCCCGTTTTATTTCCCTCCAATATACAGCACATTTACTGTTCAGTGAACCCTAGATGATTCCAGCTCATCGTGTATTCTCACCTGCTGCGATTGATTGACCTGCATCTTGAAGACAGAGAAGGGATATCATTTTTCCCACCAAGTGATGGGGCGTCAGGATCAATATTCTCACTCTTGGTTAAGCTTTTGCAACCTTTAGAACATCGTCTCCAATCGATCTCTCTCACATAATTGTCTTCATTTTCATATCAAGTTTTTTTTCTTCTTTTGTACATGTCAATGACATTTGCAATGCCTCGTGGTCTTGTTACATGACCCTTTGAAATACCCGAGGTAAAGGGCACAAAACACAGATTCATTAACATGTTACATTTATTGTCACTGTCTCCCTCTTTCCACTTTTCACCCCTGTGCTATAAACATGTGCGGAACGTGAGGCCATGTTATATTTCCATATAAAAAGCCCCATAATTATAGGGGGGATGAAGACGATTGTTCCCCTCATCAGAGGAAATGATAAGGGAGTACCAGGTCCTGTGAAAGAACAGAGTCCATTTTGATATAATTGGCAGTGGAATTATTTATGACATTAATTGCCACATTATCGACTGGCTGTCAGCTTCTGTGTCAGTCTGTCCATCTTTCTTAGCAGAAAGAGCCAGCTCAGCCTGGTGCCCACTGACAAGCTAATTACTACAGCACAACCCTGAATGACAAATGTTACTCATCTAAGACCGGGCCCGGAAATAAGGGCCACTTTCTCCCCCTTCGGCTTCTCTGGATCAAGTCAGACAGCAGTGTGCTGCCAAATGTCTTCAGGTGCAGGAGAGAAAGAGTTTGCATGTCAGACAGAGAGAGGGAAAGAGAGGGCGGGAGGTGGAGAGAAGTTTCCAGAGCCAGGGGGACAGTTAAATCTAAATCTCACCCCATCCTGTTTGCTGCTCCGCTATCAGTGGCCAGTTGTCACTCATAAAGACAAGTCCTTTTTTTCTCCCTCTGCCTCCTTGTAAATTTGCATTAGCTCATGCCAATCAGTCATCAGGCTGTGGGGCTGATATGTAGTGACTGGGTGATTGGTCCTTAGTTCTTTTGACAGTGAGTCACACACTAGTGTGCCTTTTGGGGAGGTGAATTGTGCTGCACCACCAATATAGAGCTGAGAGATTATACAGTATGTAAATACATTTTAACATTCCCAAAATCTGAAAATGCTGCAATAGTGTGTCATAATAATAGTACAAAATACAGCATGCACTATGTATACATTTATATAGTATACATTTTTTGCAGTTAGTATACAAGGCAGTATACTTTACGATTATGTACTAACAAGAACTTAAACAAGATTTTTACTTTTAAATATTTCCAAAGGTAATCCAATATTTTGTAGTCTCACCATCGTCAGCATTTTCTTGGGTTTAAAATTTCCTTTATGCATTGAATTCTGGGACAAGTATGTTCATCAACAGCACACTCAAAAATCAAGCAGATTTTAAATGTTTGTGTATTGTTACTTTGTCCAGTGTGAATGCACTGCATGCTGAAAACCTGATTCCAATTAGTATGTAGTATAAAATCAAATGACAATTTAGACTCTACAAAATGCAGGTCAAATGTTTAGTATTTGGTTTTATTGTGTTTACACTGTCACCCTCACATTTCAGTGATATTGCAAACAAATTAAAAGCAGCAGCAACAATTCACTACAGATACTGTGCACAGAGATCCAGCTGGGGCTCACACAGGCACGGAAAATATGTAGGTACAGTACAGTACAGTACATGTACATTATATATATATATATACACACACAAAAACACTCACACACAGTGGCTAGTAGAGGAGCCTGCGGGGCTACTACAGCAGAATGTCACTGATCTGCTCTGATGAAGTGACATGCCATTGTTCAGCCAGGAAGTTACCAAGGAGTGGCAGCAGTGAGGGAGCTGATGGTCAAGGAGGGCTTCGCCTACAGGTAGATCTGTGGCTCACCTCTTAATTAATCTACTGTCTGTGATGCCCGGCATGCCTTATCATACCCTTGCATGCACAAAGACCCATGTCAAGCATATGTCAACCCGCTTTGGCACTCCCCGCCTATCCCATAATGCAGTTTGTGTTGGTGTGGCAGCTCGGGATGCGTCCCTGACGAGGATAGGAAGTGACACACACCAAACTCGGTGTGTCCCCCAGCCAGCTCCGGTGGCTCGGGGCCTGTCAATTCCAGCTTCATCAGTGGTACTGGCTCAATGGCAGTGCCTGTGACACATGTCACAAAGTTTTAAATGTCTGCTCTTTTCAGTAGGATGGCTGGGTGCGTGCCGCAGCCAGGGGAAGGATGACATTTTGTGTCGTGTGGGTGGGGTGGGGGGACTTGTTGTGGCTCCCCTCTTCCTGCCTCCTCCAGCTGTCAGCCCCAGTTTCCTCTGAGCATATCAAAACACAGACAAATAAACCTTGTCATTTTGAAACGCCGGCACTAGTGACCAGGCTCCTGAATGGTATGTCAGCTGGAATATGGTCACAGAGTCCTGTAGGAAGTGGTGTGTAACCACATGCAAGCAAGCACGCATACTCTCACATGCACACAATCTTGTGCACAAGCTCAAGTGTTTACGCTAATAGAAGTAAGAAATAAACAGATACCGTTACAGTGGACAAACATTGCATGAGGTCATCTCTGACCTTTCCTCCATCTGCCTGTGCATGACTGACGCAGTGGAGTGAAGTTCAACACGGTGTCTTTCAAAATCCCAAATACAGCAAGCCTCTCCTCTTTATGTCATCAGCTACTTCACCTCTGAAGAAGTAGGTAATGTAAGGCTCTTCATCTTTTTAACCACTTCTACAGTTGTAATGATGAGCACATGGCTCCATAGGCTATATACAGGAAAATATGTTAATGTGATGGACATTTGGTAATTGGGGATCAGTGTTTTGTGGTGGTAGAAGGAATTTATGGGAAAACACCAGAGTTCCTTAAGCTCTTTATCAAAAAGACAAGAGACACAGTTAGTTAAACCCTTTTAATTACTTGAAGACATCCATCTAATACAATTTTTTAATCAGATCAGCATATAACATCATTCATTCAAAAGAGATTGGAAGGGTGCCAGGGGAACTTTAAATTAGATGTTAAAAAACTGGTGGTTAGGTTGTCATGATAAGGCATTAAAAATCATGATAAACACTGCAAACCCATAATGATTATAAAATTATTATAAAAATGTAAACATTTGAAAAGCAATGCATTTGAACACATTTAGGGCAATGGTAGAGGAAATATTCCATTAGATGCAATTTTCTGAAGATTATGTCTAATAGTTTGCTTGCAATCATCACAATGCAAATAATGAACAGAATAATTCAGTATGAAGTTGAAGGTTAGAGACGCAGTGGGAAAGGCAGCAACACGAGAACATAAAATAAAACATAATGATATACCTGGAATGCATCCTTGGTTACAACTGTGTTAAATAAGCTGATATTGGAATGTTTTTGACTTTAAAAGCTGCATTTGACACATACAACAGAAACCAACCCAATAATTGCTGCAGATATCAAACTAAGACAGACATGCACCAATTGCTCTGTTTTTGGCCTATTTTTTAAAAGTCTGACTGAAGATAAAGTAGCCTATTGAAAGGATCGAGACCAACGTGGTACCAAATGACATGACTTTACCTGGTCAGTACCACCGTTTCCGCGTCTTTTAAAGTAATACCAAATAACGTCTCTCTCTGTGCTGAAATCCAGTGTGTACATACAGACATTTACATGCTTACAGGTCTTTGTTTTTTTTTTTGGATATTGCTCACCATCAGCCACAGACGGCATGCCCAACAGCAAGGCTGTATAGCTTTATGGGTGTGGAAACAGAGACCAAGATGTGGGTCATGTGCATGCGCAGAACCGCTAACTAGCACATCTCGATAGGTAGCATAAATTGACAGATTAACTGGCTGATGGATTGATCAGTGCATCTCTTAATTTAAAGACACAAAAGAAAAAAAGAACATTCAAAGAAAAGAAATAAAAGCATTCTGCCGCAAACTAAAATTAAAGGACTGATCATGCCTCAAGTCTGGACTCGGAAATCTTGCATAAACCTTGTTCTGTTCAACTATTTGTGATGTCTTAATGTTTTACACAGCAGTTACAACGTGTGTGCGAGTGTGGAGAGAGGGAGAGAGAGAGCGAGAGATGGATATGAGTGCATGTCAGGCCCCAGGTGTGTGACCGTCGCCCCTTTCACCATTGATTAGTGGCAGTAGTGGACGGGTGATCCATCATGGCTGTCAAAAAAAAAGGATGCAATTGGCTGGGTCCGTTTGTCACTGAATGTGCGTAAGACAAAGAAAGAGGTAGGAAGTCTGTCTGTGCGTGCGTGCGTGCGTGCTATGCGAGCCGAGTTGTGCGGTTGTCATGTCATGTGGGAGTGTCATCTCTGACTCTGACTGTAAGCTGGAAGCAGGCAGGCAGACCCAGTTCAGCAGAGGAGGCTGGAATACAAACTTTAAAAACTTAAAAACATTCCCCTTACATAACCATAACAATGTTTTGACGAAGTTTCAATCTTTTTCTAGTGGGAGATCAGCTGACTCAAATCTCACCAGTAGTTTTAATAAATAGGAGATTTATTTGATCCTCTTCACTTTCATTTCATGTCCCTCTTTACGCCTGACCAGTTGTCCATCAGAGTTGGTCATTTCGGATGAATCTGTTGCCCTCTGAGTGCTTCCCATAGTAGACATAGCGACACTTGGCGAATACCCCTAAAAACAAAATAAGAGAGAGAGAGAGAGAGAGAGAGAGAGAGAGTGTCAGGTGAGGAGTTGTGATGTTATCTCTTGGAATATTTCTGTGACAGACAGACAAACTCCCATCTTGGAATTCACCACAATCCCTCACAAGGGGATCACAAAATAATCCGAGGGGTTGCCAGATAATTTTCTTCCTTCCTTCCTTTTCTCCTGTGAAGTTGTACATAATTTTACATTTTCTTCTAAAAAAATATATAAATAAACAAACCAATTGAGGCGTCTGGTCAAAAGGGGTGACAAGGAAACTAATTTAAAAAGGTTGGGCAAAACACTGTGTCATGTGATCCTAACTGAAAATACATGTGTCTTTGATTGCTGGAACACAGATATTCTGTGAAGGTTTAAATATTGGCAAGGCTCTTCCTCACTGAACAAAGAGAAGACTTAAGTCAGGTTTATTTGCTCGTAGCACAGTCATAAAAGCTTAATTAGATTCACGTTGTAATACATTACTTAAAGTAGCTTTAATGTACGTGACATTCTCAAATAAAAACTAGGTCTCTAAAATTGCCTGCATCTCAGGTAAGACCACAGGGGAAGACTACATAAATATACTAATGCAAGACTTGAGGTAGTAAATGCATTCAATGTGTTCGTTAGATCTCAAGGACACAGATGGTAAGTTTTAGTGAGCAACACTGAATGTAAACACAACCGTGTTTGTTTACTACTGTAAAAAAAATCCCACAGGTTGGCTTTAAATGGCAAGATGTGGTCTGGGACTGGGTTTGGCTCCTCGTAGGGGGGATGAGTGGTGTTGCTGGGAAGGATGAGCGTCTTGTTCCAGAGACCAGTGTGGCCTCAGGGCAAAGTCCTGATGGTAACAAGCTCACAGCCACCCACGCACACCCACACCCACACAGACATACACACTGAACCATCACAGCAAGCACTTATTTAACTATTAGCAGGCATGGGTGTGGCACGGTTATGTGTATTTGTGTATGTGCATGTAATAGGCTAATAAAATACAATAAAATAATAGATGTCACCTTTGGAGTTTAGAACCTGCTACTACACTTTGCTATTATCTTGTTATTTCATTTGATTCATTTCCTGAAAAAGCCTGATCAAGAGCAGCCTGTCGCTTTGGAGAGGACTTTAGTTTTCTCTCCTATTGTTCCCATTATTATTATTCAGTGGAGGAAGTTAAAATAGAATAGGTCTCCTAATTTCAACTGAGATTACACTGCTGTAACTAGTCGTACTAGCAAAACAACTATAATATAGTAAATACGCCATTAAATCACAACTAAATAAAATATGTGCAATTATATAGCTCAGTGGCTGGTCTGCTCTGGCTCTGATGTCATAGCGCTCCGACTGCCACTTGATGAATGTGGTGGGTTGCAGCTAGGTGTCACCTCTCGCCAAATGAGGCAAGGGCAAGTGGCATTAGTGCTGTCAATGATCCTGTGACAGCAGAACAGATACACCTTTCGCCAGGCTTTTTAAATAGACATCAAGTGCATTATAGGACGAGGGGGGCCAAGCCACAGACAGGGCAGGAAAGGAGAGACTTATGGGAGAGGCGGTGTTGCAGAAGGATGAGGGCTGCTCCAAGCGCTAAGTCCAATCACATAATCCAAAGAGACATTGTCAAGGGCGGAGAGAGAATGGCAACTAAGTGACAGAAAGCAGAGACGGGGACAGAGATACTGGTGCCATATTAGTGCCAAGCATATTCTGATGCCACCCTCAATTCTAACCAAACCTGACACATTGCTCTCTTTCCCCCACTATCTCTGACTCTTCAAAGTAGGCTCCACCAAGTCACACTCACACATACACGCACGCACATATAAAGTACGCAGACATACACACAAACACACACACGAGTCCCTCGCAGCAGTAGTGGGTGTTCTGTCAGGCGGAGGAGCAGTACAGCAGCAGCAGCAGCAGTAGCAGCAGCCCACAGGCCCGAGGACAAGCTCAGTCAATCTAAATCTGGACTTTGTAGTAGAGCAGTGCTCATTTCCCCTCATAGCCCAGCTACTTGAGGTGATCCAAACACTGAAGTGTGAGGAGCTGTCACCTCCGATAAAATCCGGGACCAACTCCATGCATGCCTGCTCTCCCGGTGTGTGAGGGATACATATACGTATGTGTTTGTCTGCTTCTCTTGACGGTAAGAAGGTTGGGGGGTGAGGGGGTGTGGGGGGGAGATTCCAGCTGCCGTGATTTGCCTGGGGATATAGGTGCCACGGCTGGAGACTGGGCTTGACACCACAGGACTTTGGGGTGTCTCACAGCTCTCTGATCACATGGGCACCGGGGCCTTTCACATATTCACAGCTTACCCGGTGAGAAATTCACTCTCTCCAGCAGTAGGGCCCTTAAAAAGATTACCCACTGAGGTACCAGAACCAGGGCTCATATAAGACATTACCTAGAGGGGATATATTTGTAGGTTGCAACCAAAGCCTTCCAGAGATAACCTTCACAGATGAAGGAACTAAAGCTAAAGGCCCCTCAAGCCTTCACACTCTGCTGAGCTTGTCACTAGCCCATGGGGACTGAGAAGGATTGGAGGGAATACATTCGGAGATTCTCCAGCACCAATCAGAAAGCTCTGGCGATGTGTGACCTGTAACTCTCCAGCAGCGCTTAAAAAAGAAGAAGCAATATCTGTGATCAAAGGACAAGAGGAAGAGTAAATTAAGGGAAAGAGCAGAACAAGTAACAGGGATGAGGTCTGTTTCCCAGCAGGAGAATGTGTCTTAATTTCCTATGCAACCTGGTTCAAGCTCTAGATCCACTTCAGCATTACATTAAGCAGCGTGTTTTGTGCATAAGCACATTCCAGTTCGCTGCGTTCCCTTCACAGCGAGAGCTTGCTCTTATTACGAGAGAAACCCGGAGAAAGATGGGGTGGTTGGCGATGGAGAAGGGAATAGCTATGCCACACTCAGTCTTACATAACGCCTTCTGAGGCCATGCTCACGCCTGTGGGGTTCCGCCTGATGAACTGATACTTAATAAACTAGTGGTACAGTGCCAAACCCAGTAGTCTACAATATCCTCTGTGTATCCTAAGCTATGGATGAGCACACTTGAATCAACGCCCACACTCTCGACCATATACACATTATCACAAACACAGACACACTTTCATCTCATGCACACAAACAGCACACAGTGAGAACAGTGGGAGCAGCCATTATAGTGACAGATTAACAAAGTGATGTGGAGGCTAATGTTTCCATCATGCCCTGGTGGAGGAACAATCATGCCTTTGTTCTGCATATGTCACGCAGCACCTTGTTGTTTTTAAGGGGACTAGCTAACCCTCTTGTCTTTATTAAAGGGCTGTACGGTCTTTATCTTGTATCTTTTTCTAGCTGAATGCTACAGTATAGGTTAGTCGTCAGACAGTCTGGTCTTTTCAGAGCTGATTACCCAAAGCATGTGTCCTCTCTGTGGGGGCTTGATGGGCCACTCTGCCACAGTGTGAGTAAGCCGGCTGTACAAAGCCTCCTATGTACAGTGATCCACTATCAAATCAACACATATGGTATCAAAAGTTTTTTTTTTTTTCTTGTGAATATATCATTTTTCTTTACTTAAAGTATAACGAATAAAAGTAGGGCAGAAATCACCTCTATAAATTACTATGGCCACTAAACGAATCCTTCCAGAACTTAAACCAAGGTTTACAAGTTGATCAATACAGTGTCACTCACTCAGTACTTTTCAGGTGTCTAGCTACAGCAGTCCAGCTCATTCTCTTGGTTCTGGTGGACATATTCCTGAACCAAGGACACTTCAATTTGTGCAGAAACTACACCAACTGAACTGTCTCCTGTCATGCAGATTTATATCCCCTATAACTGTTTCCTCAGTTTTCAAGGACACTTAATACCAAAATTATTTTCAGTTTAGTGTCTAATTTTGTCCTACCGAATGGACAGCGCTCTGTTTCTGTTCCAAGCTAGCCACTATCCTCACCTCGATAGTGTATTTTTTTGTGTGTTTTTCAAAAAACAGAAAATGTTGTAGTGTGTAAGTTTGTACTTAGAGAACATAAATTACCAGTAACAGTAGATCGTAGGGAAGGGAAGTGTGGGTTAGGACAGTTAGGCTGCAGAAGGGCTTACAGTTCTCCTATCCAACCTGAAACTGACATTTTGTTGCAAGTAGATTTGCAATGTCCAAGAGAACGTGTCCAAGGAATTGCATTAGCCAAGCAAGTTAAAGGCCAGTAAAGGATGAAATAAGAAAATATATTCTTGGGTCCAGTTTAGGTCTCAAATTTGGCAGCACCAGTCACCTTCTGATGGTTAGGTCTTAACTACGCAGGTACAGGCTGGGTTCAGGTCTTTAGACCTGTGCTAGTAGGACTGTAGAGACCTGTTATGTGGCATTCCAACAGGACCACACATCATATTAAGCATATATTACAAATTTATTAATCTGAAATGCAGCTCCAGATTCAGGAGTATTGGTTCACTTAACTACTTCTCTTTGTTATATCTTTTCATATCTTGATAATGCCGGGACTGTGGGTTGTGAAGATCCAGATATTTTCAACCTTAACATAAGTTTCTTCTTGCCAGCTTAAGAGAAAGAAAAAAGGTCAGGTACAATTTCCTAAATGTGCCAAGTGTGAAAGTAAATTTAAATTAGCAATATGATAATAATGCTTTCTGGGGGATGAATCCTCTAAAATAGGACAGTAGCATACTCTGTCAATGGTAGTGACAGCAGTGGTACTATAGAGCCAGGTAGATTTTTTGATGACCGACGTTTGTTAGCACTGTAGTTCCTAATAGTTGCTATTGGACAGTATTAAGATCCTACAGTCAAATGGACATAAATGGACATTACCTCTAAAAAGAACTGAAAGTTTTTGTTCATCAGATGAATACTTTGTCCATATTGAGGTACTGTAGGTAATTTAAAGAAAAATCATCTCAGAAAATACTTCTGTTCATCTGAGTGTATACTTGAAG